ATATTTTATATACGAGTATGTTTCAAAGCTATGATTGATGCTTAAATAAAAACCTTACTCATGCTAGATTAGTAAAAGTGATTTCAGGACTGATAGCGAAATTCTTTCTGAAAGTTTTTCTCATCCCACCTGGACCTTAATTGTCCGTATCTCCAACATACTTTTAAAGGGTTTGTGGGTGCGAATATTTAAAGGAAATTTAATGGCATCGCAATGACTACTCACTTCATCGTGGGAAATTTCAGTCTGTACCTCCTGAACTATGCCTCCACCATTCATTCGTATCTTTCTACTCCTCGTCTAGTGATAACCTCGAATGACGCATTCCAACGTGGGTCTTAAAGGACAAATGTGACTTTCAGGGCAAGTCAGGTCTGCTTCATATTACATTTATGACGCGATTGTCTAGGAAGCAATCGTGTATTTGCAATTGCAATAGACTTCGTTACCTATTTTTGCTAGTGCTCCCAGGGATATGCCTGAAAACCGTCTTTTGGGATGCATACCCGAGCGAGATTCGATGCGAAAATCCAATATTCTCTTCATTTCTTCGTAGGCCCGGTCGCAATCTCTCGAATCCGGTACTGCTCATAGTTCTCAATAGCTATGAAGGGAATCGTTACTTAAACTAACCTTCTTCGGGCAATTGGCGGCTCTTATCTTTTTCTAATTTTATACACCTTTACCCTACCAAATCAAAGCTGTGTTGAACAATAATCCCATCATTTACACGTTTTATTTCCTTTAGTATGCCTTTCTTGCACTATCATAACTTCGATTGCCTTAGTATCGCAGCTAAGGTAGTCTGCAATTTTTATTAAATCGTAGTATTTTGGTGCTTTCTTGATTTACGCACATAAATCTATTTCTCTGCTCATAACCTGTCAGTGCGAGTGTCTTATTGCAACTTTTCTTACATACCTGAACACAATTTTCGCCCAACTGACTAGCCATTTTGTTCCCCTCTCCACTTTAATCTTCTCTTTTTATGCATGGAACCACTGATCTCATGGCTGCATTTTTAACGGTGCCGGCTTTCACTCCCTGCCTTCCTTTAAACTGTTCACTATTAGTTATATCATTATTTTATTATTGTTTCCATTGGTGTTGGTTCTATTATTGTTATTTGCTATTCATCGAATATTCTTGTCTTTTCTGCCGTGGCAATGCTGTCTAACTGGGCCTCAACACCGTCTCGTGACACATAACTGTCGATCGAGCCTGCACGATTACTCGTGTTTTATGGTGCCCACACCCATCCGAGCCTGTACCATGCCGGTGGGTGCGTACATGACCATGTGCAAAAGCTGGTTGATCGCCTGAATGGGAAGTGCACAACGCACAACCCACCAGATGCTCAATCGCTCCGTTGTCCGGCCTCTTAACTCGCATACTCACTAGATCAAAGGCATCACAAGCGATTTTTCCCAAGACCATCAACCATTAAGCCTGCATATCCATTTTATGCTCGTCCATACTCTTTATCCCACATCTTACCTTCAGCATCCAACATTTCTATACTCACCACCAATATATTTACATGATCTTGGAGTGATATATATGCGAATATTCCTGTGATTTCGGGTATGTTTGATTGCTTTAGATGACAGCACTTCTTGCAACCTTAGCACCAGGGGTCCCCTCGGTGATTCCACTTATGCTTCACCAACTTATTCTTGGCTCGCTTACGCTTCTCTGGTCAGATTGGAAGCCTCTGAGGCTAAAGATAGCTTTGAATCTGCCCTATCTTTCACTGACGTGGTGTTCAATTCGTGTCTCAGCTCTAGTTTCACCCTATCTTCTGTCACATCAAGCCACAGCTCATTTGAAATGGCCACCTCGAACCAAATGACGTCGAATGGAGAGATGCATGCTTTTGCAAAAATCACAAAAAGTTATCCTCCATTAATGTGGCGCAATCATACACCTCCAGAGATGGTTGTGTACTTCTCTGCCCCAGATGCATCTTCATATGATTCCGAACCAAACACCTCTTGCCTCAACAGCCCCGAATGCCTGGCTACCACGCCGTTGCCGTTCGATACGAATTATGTCAATTGTCAGTGCCATCACCCGATTGGCGAATTCATCCATGCATCGACTGAGCCCTGTCTTGCTTGTGCGCCAACCGAATGCAGATTGTCCTTCTATTCTACCACCCAAAGTGTCATATTCGATGAAATTGTCTTCATGAACTCTATCCTCGTCTGCCAGATCACTCTATCTCAACTCTACTTAGCCCAAGTTGTCGCCGGTTGTTCTTTCGGAGCGACCCAAAATGTTGCCTTCGTGATCCGCCCGAGATCAAAGTGGGCTGGTATTGGTCTTATGGAGAAAGGTAGTCTCGAAACTCTGCTGCTATACGAAAAAAAAGTCACAGAGACGGAATTGTACCGGAGCCCGGCTGAGACAAGAGCACGGGCATGTGGTAGAGGAAGATGAGTTGGAATGGAGTAAAGACGAAGTGATATTGGCGGCAGAAGAGAGTGAGACTTGACCAATATGGATTGTGTCCGATACAGATGCTGTCTGCCTGAAAGAGGCAATCGGCTAGTTGGTCCGTATATTGGTGTAGACAGAATAAAAGCCAGACATGAAGACCAAAATGTTGTGGACTCTGTTTTGGTCGTATCTCCTTTCGATCTATAGAAGTGGTCTGACTTCGTTTTAGCAAATTGGTCCTGTCGTCAGAGCGACCTAGTTGGACGAACCTTGTCCAAAGTCCTCTGGTAAGTAGTCATCGTAATTCCTACTGTCGGACCCTTGATTTGGTAGATTCCCAGATATTTCGCCAGCAGTGTCAGTGAGTCTTGGCCTGGCAAGACTCACTGTCGATACCGACTACAATTCCGGTGTAACGTCTTCAAATGTTCAAGTCTACGAACTGACGGAATAAATAATCATAACTGCGATCGCAGATTTATCTGGGTTGCCCTGATAACACGACCAAGTTGTAAAAGCGAGGATACAAGCCAGTTAGAGAGGCAACGAGCCCAGTTTTTGAGAAATATTATGAATTCGTTTTTGCTGCATGGTCGTATTACCATAGTGACCTAGACAAGCGAGCCTCGTGTCCGGAGTCTTCTGCCT